CTCAGGTGGATAAAATACTAGGGCATCTGTTTTTCTACATCTGGCATTTATCCAGTCTTTTTTTCTTTAAAAGATCATTGGGGAAAATTCTTAAATCATTGTAAATTTATGATTATAGTTTTCCTTATTATCCTAATATACACTACTTCCACAGTACCTCATCTATGTAGACAAAAATGCATAGCATGCATAGCAAACAAAACCAATCTGGAGACACCTATTTTCCCAGGCTTGACTCTAGGAAATCAAGGAATCTTAATTGAGAAAGTTTAGGAAGAATTCATTAAATATAGGGGGCCCCTGCTACATGCACCCAGCTCTGTGTTTGACACAAAGAAAATAACCCTGAAAATACATGCTATAGAAATCCACTGTGACCTCTTCAGTTGGGGAAGAATTTTTGGGAAAGTTTCTTTGTGGTGTTGCTGAAGTTTTTAGCACAACTATTGTCAGTAATTGTAGTGTATAGGCTCAGCCACATTCCAGTGGCTTTAAGCAACCTGAGGTCTGAAATATGTTATAGTTGTCTTTGTACTGACATCAACACACTCCCCCACCTACCACCTCCTGGTGCTTAGCATGGGGTAGATGATTATCAATAAGTGATGAGAAATGGAGACTGAGATTGCTTCGATTTTCATCTCATGCCGTGTCTTTGTTGAGAGACCAAGTTGTAGATGAAGAGTAATGAATTTTGTAAGTGTGCATTAGATTGGCAATTATTCTACTCCCAGCTTATTCAGTAAAATCATTTGAAAACTACCTTTTTTAAAAACTGAAACGTAAATATATTGTTACTGTTCACAGTGCCTGAGTTACCACCCCTAGTTTTAGAGTTAATTGGACAGTTAACTTGGAGGAAGTATACTTTTTAACCTTAGAATGAACAACAGTGGCAAACACATTGAAAAACTCCAAGGGCGAGTACAGTTGCAAAATGGGCACTTGATTATATTTCAGAAACTATGCACTGAGCACACGGAGAGACTTGGAAGCTCTTGTATGGCTTGTCTGTAGCTCGAATAGTTGAGTCCGCTCAAATTTCAGACCCTGCCAGGATCATCAACCAGCTCTGGATAAAGTACTGATATCAGAATGATTGGTTACCTGTCACAAAGCATAGCAATTCCCAACAAAATAAATTCTAGTCTGTCTTTAAAAGAAAATCCTAGTGTATCTTGAATTATAGAATGAATAAGGAAAATGTTTTATCTCCCTGGAAGAACATAGGGAGAGAAAATAATAGAAACTTGCCTTTTCTTTGCGAATTAATGAAGCAATTAGCCATTCATTATTGTTTTTCAGGGCAAGTCTATGTTTGTGGCCTTAATGAAAATTGAATGTGGCTTACCAGCTAAGTAGCTGGTTGAAGAACTTTCTGTTTTTCCCCTTTTTCTCCACCTGCATGCTAGTCTATTGTTTTTTATGATGCCTCAATTTTCCCATCCATAAAATGGAGATGATACTGGCTTTGTATTGCTGTAGTAACAAATTACTACAAATTTAGCAACTTAAAGCGACACCCATTTATTTGCTCACAGTTCTATGGGTCAGAAGTCCAGGGATGGTGTGGCCGGGTTCTCTGCTCTGCTCTCACAAAGCTGCAACCAAGGTGTTGCCGTGAATCTCATCTGAGGCTTGTGCTCTCTTCCAAGTCCACGTGGTTGTGGCAGATTTTAGTTCCTTGTGATTGTAGAACTCAGGTTCTGTTTCTTTGCTGGCTGCCAACCAGGGGCCATTCTCAACATCTGGAGGCTGCCCACGTTCCTTGCCACATGACCCCCTGCCTGTTTAAAGCCAGCGTGGAGAACCTCCCTCCTGTCAAATCCCTCTCAGACTTCGAATCTCCTTTGCCAGGAAGAGCCCAGGTCTTTTTAAGATCTCACCTCATTAAGTTAGGCTCACAGAGGAGGATAATCTGCTTTGTGGAAAGCCAGCTGATTTGGGGACCTCATTACAACTGCAAAATCCTTTCACAGCAACACCTAGGTTAGTGTTCTGCTGCATATCTGGGAGAATGTGTGTATATCAGGGTGAGAATATTGGGAGCTATCTTAGACTTCTGTCTACCACTGGGATAATAATACTTTAGAGTGTTCTTAAATGGCTTGAGATATGTGTGCAAAGTACTTAGCATAATACATAGTACAATGAGGTTCAATAAATAGGATCTAGTATTGCTAATGTCTATATTTTCCTGCCTGCGTGGATTTTTGAATTATAGCATTATAAGCACACTAGAAACATGATAGAATATGTTGCTGATTATTTGGATACTCCACAGAAAGCAGAGATACTAGGCCAACAAACTCACAAAACCCAATATTTAGTCTATTTGCTGGAAGTTGATGAATTAATCAAACTGCACTAAAAACAAAACAAAACAAAACAAAAAACCCCAAACCAGGCTATCATTCATGTTGATACTCAAGCCCATCTATTAATGTGGCATAAAATGAAATATGTATGGGTCTCTACATTGTTCATTTTTTTTTTTTTTTTTGCTTTTTAACAAGAAAAATGCATTACAGAATCCATGCCTTAAACACTGACATTTTTCAGAAAGAGTTGTTTTGTTTCTACTCATGCTCTGAATATAAAATGAATACTTCAAATGCTTCATTCATGCCGGGGCCTCTATGCCCCCTTTCTCCCTTCAATAATCCCAGCCTAGAATAGGCAACATTATGCAATTTGGTGATCCAGCTATAACAATGGGAATGCTTCTCTCTGGCTGTGGGAAGAAAGATACCTAAGGGGTTAACAGTAATATTTTGCAAATTGAGGCAAGGGAAGAAAAAATACATTAGCATAAGAAAAGGTAGCCTTAGGGGATTTTCCAACTCAAATGTTTGGTACTAAGAGCCCCATGTTACCAAGGGGGAGGTTAGTGAAGAAAACCCTTAGTGTCGCATTCTCGGAATACATCGCTATTGTATTTATTCTACTGGAAAGAAAAGACCTCATAGTTAGAGAGATGGAAAATGGTTCTTTCTAGGAAGAGAAGTCAAAATCTGATATAGTAAGAAAAGCATCTCAGAGTATCGAAACAAGAGCAAGAGGATTCCTCAGGGATCAATCCCAACAAGATGATTTCCTAAGTATGTTGGGACTAGACTAGAGGTGGTTTGAAATTGAAAGTCTTTAAGCAATGATTTTAATTGTGAACTAGAACGAGCCCCAAATGTCTGCAATTAATTTAACTTGAATTTAACAGTTTTTACTCCTTTTAAAAATTGTCTCACAGCATCTGAATGCAGTTAGCAGATATTTCCCTTTTATTAGTACCTAGACTTTGTAAAGATTGTTTTGTAGGAAATATCAAAATAATTATTAGTTAAAAACATTCAAAATAAGTATAAATGATTCTCACTGATTTCCTTAAGATAGAGAATATACTAATTAGTTGTTACTGTTCCTATGAAGATGTTGAACTAGTTAAATCAACCTTTTCCTTATTCTTATGAATGACTAGGCAGTAAGTGATTTATTTGATTCTGAATCTAATTAGCTTCAACACCACAGTGAGTGTATGGCTGTCCAAATAAATCATGATGCATTTCATTAATAAATTAAGGTGGAGAAGAGCCAGCTTATTTTAGATAAATTGTTTATGACATACACTATCTATGGGGGAAATGCAAAAAAGATGTTTATTTTTTTTCTGAGAAAGTTCTTATCCAATTAATAAGATGCAATTTTGGTTATTAAAAATGGGAATAGCATAAGATCAAAGAAGATCATCCAAGTCCTGGAAATGTGTCCACAGTAAAGTATTTATGATATTAACATATAAATAAAATTAATTATAAGTCAATGGATAAGGGCAATTTTCAGTGACTCATATGTCAGAAATCAATTGAGAAATAAAGCTATACCATGGTCTTTCCATTGTATGCAGATTATTAGTTTTCAGATCTTCTGTGGAATTAGTGATCTTGTTTATGTCTCTTTCTTTGTTTCATTTTATGTGTGGATGTTGAAGAGATCACCATTTCAGGTCTTTATTCCTGAGAAGGCATAAGTAAATGGATCTGCTTTCTCAAGCACAAATAACTCTGAAGTGGTTAATAAAGAAACTTGAGAGAAAGGAAGAAAAAAGAGGGAAGATTATTTAAAAAGTACTAGGTAATTCCCCTGATATTGAAATTCTCATAATATGATTTTGCATTTTGAGATATTATGACCATAGCATCCTATATTAATGTAAGTTAAAAATGCATTCCAAAACTCAAGTGAAATTCTTTTGGATGATCCATGTTATGGTTTCCCAACCCTAGCTGCAAAATTGAGAAATGATTATAGACCAAAACACTTTTCAGTATAAATCTGACACTTCTATTCCACGTGCTTATTCACAAGAGGTGCCGTTCGTTGGGCTGTTCCCTGTGAAAAGGAGGTAGTATATAGAGTCATTCATTCAGTAATAATTGATCATTGCAATGCACGTAGGAATTATTTTTTTAATGTGGGAACTGGTTCTAAGCTACCAAGTATTTTATCAACAGTCTGAGTTATGCTTTCTGAAAGTTTTCAGATCTGCAGTTAACCACAGACCCTCTATAATCCAACTCTTTCCTATATTATTGCCACAGTGCTTTCTAATTCTGTGAGTATAAGGTAAAGTGAAGAGAGCTAAACTATTTGCGTCTAAATGGTAAATGGTAGTTTAGAAGGCCTGCTTTTTTAGACACAGAAGCAAGAGGAGCAAGGAGCTTAGAGATCATGGGTCACACCCTTTTTGCCATCCAACACCCTTCCTTTTACAGAGAGGGAAAGGAAAGCACATTGGGTCATATTTATTTTACTTCTTGTGCTTTTTTTCTCTCAGTTCAGGAATCAAAAGACCATCTTCCTTCCTGTCTTCTTTTAACTGAGTTTAGCATTTCCTATTTCATTTCCCAATGTGACTTCCTTTTTGACTAAGAATATAGACCCTTGGATATGTTGATGCCTATTTACCTTGGAACCATGGTACATCAATTTTCTTCCTTTTACAGGGTGGAGAAGAAAGTCTTGCTGCTCTTAGTAAAGTAACCCACAGATTTCAAAACCCATGGTAAGCCCATGCAAATATATTTTTTATTAATATTATTAATGTACTTCCTTCCTAAATTGGTAACAGGGTTAATTTAAAAAAATTTTTAAGTATATTACCACTTTTTATTTCATGTAGGTTTTTTGGTAAAGTTATGAATTTTTTGTTTCTGATAAACACAATAAATTTTCACTTCCTGCTAGGTTTTAATTAAGGAGAAGAAAAGAGTAAAGCAAACATAGTGAGAATAAGAAATTGCTGTATTATAGCAAAAAAAAGAGAAGCAAGCCTGAAGCTATTAAGAATGGCAATTGCATGAGAGATTGGCTTTAACTTTATAAATAATTCTCTCTGTGGAAAAAAAAAAACAATTAATTTTCTTTTCAGTTTCAAAAAGAAAAAAACCTTATTTCATGCTGTTGGCCTGGAAACCATCATAATGGATAATCTTGGTTAATAAACATAATCCTACTAAAGTCACATAATGGCTTGAATTCATGCTATCTTAAGGCAGTTTCTAACCAAAATTAAACACATCTAGCCAAAGACATTTTAAATGATGGGAAAAGAACAAAACCAGGGTTTATCATCTAGATGTAACATACAATTCAGGTTCGATTCAGGTTCCTAAGAGGAAAGGAATTAATCAGCATTGCTCTTACAAGATTGCAGATTAAATATTGTCTTTGTTATCATAGGTTTTTGGAGGTGAGGGTTTCTGGGGCCTATCTCACCTCCTTTTTAATGATTAAAGGATATAATTATTAACATGTGCAAAGTTATTATATTTTAATCTTTTCTTTCTATACCACCACAACATAAACTGCCTCAAAGAGACACAAGACTTTAAACTCCATGTCAAAAGCCAGTTAGTTACTATTCCAAGATAAAAGATCTCACTGGGCAATTCCTATAACTTATTAAGCATATCCCATATTTAAAGCCATAGAGAAATAGTTATACTTCATTGCATGAAAAGTACATATTCTTATTTAAATATTCTACTTCATTTATTTAGATAACATTGCAGGTATCTACTGCAAATACTCCAATGTTTTTCTTTGCCTAGGAATATGTGATAAAGTCCATTGAAAATCAATGACATTTCAATAAACATGGTTAAAAGTGTAAAAATTTGCTGCATTTAACATAAAAAAAATTGTTTGGAGAGCACCTGAGAAACATGGAAGCTTTGAATATTTTCTTAGATAAAAGAATGTTGGCTATCTTTATTTCTGGGGAATATGCTATGGATTGTACCAGGTCATGAGAATGCTGGTACAATGTTTATGAAAAAGACTTTGTACTTAAGGGATTGTCAATTCAATTGGGAAATTGGGCATATATATGAAAGAAAAAAAATAGCAAAATCAATTTGCATGTTGAGTGCCAAATTAATAACGAAGATAATAACTAGAAAATTAGTTAGGTTTAAAAATTTTTTTCATGTATTGGCGACCCCCTGGACTCACCTGTAACTTCTGGATTGGGTCCTTTTTCTTTTTGTTTAAAAAATTTTTTTCGTTTTATTTCAATATATTAAGAGGGTACAAATGTTTTTGTTACACGGATACCTTGTATAATGTTTAAGTCAGGGCTTTTAGTGCGCCCATCACCAGAATAGTGTTCACTGTACCCGATAGGTAAGTTTGTACCTCTCCCCTCCCCTTTTCTTGATTTCCAATGTCCTTTACATCTCTTTGTGCCATGTGTGCCCATCATTTAGCTCCCAGTTATTAGGACATGCAGTGTTTGTTTTCTCATTTGGTTCCTATTTCAAACTAGTCAGATACCAATAACCCAAATGTTGCTTCCCTCTTAAGATTTTAAACACCTATGCTGTTTAAAAGCTTCTCTGCCCCACTCTTGAGCTAGCAGGATATCCTTGAATAGGGTACCGACACGGACAGGCTCAGGTGTGCTCTAAATTGGCCTACGAGCCATCCCTTTCCTGGGCAAAGTTAGTGCTTGGCCTCCCCATCAGTTTTCATGTTCTGTTCTCGGTCAACAGCATTCACTGAATAAGTTCAGCACCGCCTATGTTCAGAGCTCTGGTAGATTCTGTGGCCATGATAGCGAATAAGCCAGTCTCAGTTTATGCGCTTCTTGGAACTTGTATTCTAGGGGAGGAGAGAGATATTAAATGTATGGCTTTTTAAAAATATTATACAGTTCACATTTGAAAAAACATTTTTTTTTAAATTGCAAATATAAATCATGCTTGTGGCAACAAATCAAACAATATAGAGGTATACTGAGGAACAAGTTAATCCCCTACCCTAATCCATCCAGTTTGTGACAAAACAGTGCATTATGTAGGGTATTTATGGGATTAAAGAAAAGGTTTCCCTGGGGCAGCCACCTGGATGGAGGGTTGGGGAAAGTGTTTACCGAGAAAGTGATTATTAGGCTGGTATTGAGAGGGTGAGTATAAGATCATTCCTGGCAGAGGGAAAATATTAGCCACAGTCTGACGTAGGAAGGAGAACGTCAAGTTAGGACTCGTGCTGTCTGTTGGCCCACAGAAATAAATAGGGAGAATAGTAAGATGTGGATCAGGTTTTGTAGAACTTTGCAGGCCAGGTTAGGAAATTTGGATTTTGGTCTAAGAACAAAGAGAATTCATTGGAAGATTTAACATAGGAAGCAGCATGATCCAAATTTTTTGGTTAAGATCCTTCTGGAATGCTGTAGTCCTGTGTGGAGAATGAATGGATTGAAAGGTGACAAGAACAGTTCCAGGAAGATCAGCCAGGAGATGATTTCATTTTTACAGGCTGTCTTGAGTTTTCACTGGGCTTTGCTGACAGCCAAAACAAACGAGCTTACAGAGAGCTGGGGCAAGGAGAAGGGTTTGAGTTGAATTTTTAAAGAAACATAGGCTTTAAATAAATGGAAAAAGAGGGGACAATAATGACGGGGAGCATTATAGCAATCTGATGAAGCAGATTTAACATAGTCTCTGAAATTTGATGTCTTCACCTGTAAAATTAAGATAAAGTCACATGACTAAGGGCCACAGAGCTAGTGTTTTGGGCCAGGTTGACTGATTCTATTGATCCATGTGGCACCTGGGCTTGGACATTTTTAAAGAGCTCTACCAGTAATTGCGATGAAGGGCTGAGAACCTCTAGCAAAGACTGAGAAACGAAGGGGATACCCTTGAATAGGGTACTGTTGGGGTTGCCCACATTGAGGGCAAGATCAATGGGAGTCACTGCAGGAGAAAAGGAGCCGTAGAGGTGGGTGACTTAGGACAATGGAAGGCTGCCGAAGCCTGTGGGGAATTTCAAAGAGTAGACATTAATACAAGGAAACAGAGAAATTAAGGAAAATAACAGACAAATATTTGGAAGTTATCAGAGGCCATAGAGAAAGTAGTGTAGGAAACTAGGATGATTTGATTCTGTATTACCAGTGTCAAAGAATGTTTGTCTACTAACACGGTGAAATCAAGAGTCCATCCACTCTGTTTTTGAGACAAGACATACACTAGAGGACAATTCCAGGATTTCCTCCATTCTACAGCACACTGTTTATTTTTAATTTTCTTGAAATCAGGACAGGTTTTATAATAGTTGTGTATAAATATAATGCACAAATGTAGTGCTGATTTTTTTTCCTTCTACGTAAAGCTATATTAAATCAGTGGTATGTTATACAATTTATTGCATCTTAAAGACCAATAAGTACGTACTCTAGCAAATGTGAAATGGTGACTTGCTGTGTGCCACGTGCTCAGAATTTAAAAATTAATAAGCGGGGCCCTTACTGTCAAGTTGCTCAGAGACTTTCAAGATAGATGATGTAAACAGAAGATTTCAGTACAATATACATCAGTGGAGAACGATTGTAGTCCTTGGGTATGGGTTAACACCTTCTTTTCTTAATTAAAGGAAACATACTTTTGTTCTAAATAGCTCAGTTTTCTCTAGATATGAGTTATTCGTTTTCATACAGTCTTTTCTGTTTGCAGTTGTATGTGTGCCAATTTATACGTACATGACTTCTAATTTCCACAAGCAGAATAAAAAGCATAGATAGAAAATAGAGGAATAGTTTACAGCCCAATTAAGAGAAATCATAAGAGAATGTATTTGGCAAATGATGACTTGGCAGGGCTTTTTGTTTTGCTCTAAGAGGTGAGTGAATTCTGTAGAAGCTACATGCCATTACTGAAGAGCTCATTCTATCCTCTTAGGAAAGACCTTTAACAAATAATATGAAGGCTGATTTCAGAGATGCCTCTGTTTCTCCTTTCTGATGACAGAAAACTTTCTTTTAGGATCATCTTTTGTCCTAGATGTTTGAGTCACTGAGCTCTAAATAAAATTATTTCCGGGGTTAGAATTTCTTTAGATCTTTGGAATACAACTTATTTAGTGGTTGTAATTATCGTGTTATTAAACATCTGGGCACAAGATTCATCTCAAAGTCACTGGGTTTCTCTAAAGCCACGTTGATTTAGAGGTAGACAAGTTTGGAAAGGGACAATGTTCTTGTCATTCTTTCTACTCATGATTCAATAAAATGTTCTCAGGTCATGTCCTTTCCAAATAAAAAGTGAGGAATGCTGATTAGTTGCTAAACTTCATTTCCTTCCATAGTGTGCTGTTTTTTCTTTACCTCAGAGGTAGTGGATCAGCAAACAAGAAATACTTAAACACAAATCCAGTCCTTAAAGTTAAAATGTCAAACCAGCAATCCCAAATTATACAAAAAGTAGACATAATGTGTTTGTCTTGCCATCAGCAGATTCTGGATTTCCCTGCAATTTTGCAGGTCAGAAAGAGGAAATTAGTACTTTTGGAAACTATCTACCCTAAATCTTCTTCCCCTTCCTTCACCCCACACCTGTAGTGAGAATCTATGGAAAACTACTCAAAGTCATGAAATCACCGGGCAGTCTGCATTTTCATCCATCCCTGACATATTTCAGTTAGTCACCTAGTTAGGGAAAGCGTTTCGCTGCAATCAGAGCTCACACGTGGGGACGCGGCCCCCTCAATGTGGTCTCCCGC